TTTTGTGTTAGATAATTATCATATTTGTGTATAATAAAGAATTTTAAGAAAACGAACATTTTTAATATGTAAAAATGTAATAATTTACTAATTAATATTACAATTGCATGGATACTTATAATAATAATTTCTATAAATATAATTGCGAAAATAAAGAATAGTTGTAAACAAACATAAAACTAGAATAATCCAAATTGTGTAATCAAGAATTTGCTATAATTTTTAATAAAAGTCGGTCCAAAATTTCTCAAAATATTTTTGAAAGGACATTTGACCAAATTTTCTCAAGATTTGAAAATAAAACATTTCTAAAATTGTATGTAATATCTTCACATGATAATTGTAAAAAATATTGAATCTTGAAATTTTGAAAATATTTTGTTATAATAAATGAAAATGTATTTTTGTTCAATTTGTTATACGAAAATTCATCTATTTTTTAACGAATTTTTACAAAAGCTTACTAATGTTTTTCCAAATTTTAATAAAATATCTTCTTAAGATAATTGTGAAACAAAATAAGATTTGCACAATCGAAAATGAATAATCAATTATGTAATAATAGTTTTTAACAAAAATCTGTTCAGTTCATTTCATATATCAAAATTATTTTTAAAACAAATTTCCATAAAAGTTTCTTAAAATCTCATAATGTACGTTTTCCTAAATTTTGATATATGCCATCATAATATATTTGAAAAAAAAAAACCTTTTGATATAAAACTAGATAATAATTACGTCAAAAAACAGCTTTACAACTAATTTTGGTCAAACATTTTTTACTTATGTTTACCTATGTTGGTAAACTTTGAATTTTTATCACAAATTTGGTCTCAATCGATTCAGAATGGCTTGAGACGTCGGGAAAAAAATGAACAAATCGGATTTTTTGGCAAAAACATTTCTTTTGGGAAATTAATATACACATTTATTAATTAATATTTTATAGAACTCTTTTTAATTTAATTGTGACCCCCAGCCCCTTCTCTATTTTAATATGCAAACGGAATAGCTTTTGCAAAAAGAGCCTGACCGCATTTTTTAGCTTTCATTTCTCAGCTATACGATTCTTTCTTTGTTAAATGCAATTATAAAACAAACTCTTTGATATTCTATGCAAAGAGTACGAAAACAATTAAAAACGTTTACGTTTAATCGTACATTTGCAGAATTACGAAATAGAAATTTAATTCAAAATATATTACAGATAAGTAGAACGTAGAAACTCGGTTGAAAAGTGACCAACAATTTAGTTAAAAAAAATCCGTAAAAATTGTTTAATAAAAATTGGCAAAATGCTATTTATATACTTGTACCAATGCTATTTAAGATCTTGTTGAAAAAAAAGTAGGGTAGAGCGTGGCACAAAGGTCCACTTTGACTCTTAGTATTTATAGTGTGAAATCACACCAATTAACGTTTGCTCTACTCTATCAAAGTTCTGCAAAAAAAAAACTTAAACTAGGGTTAAGTAGTATTATGTCTTGAGGCAACTCACATAAACTTCTCGATTTCGAATGCAGTCAATGAAGTTAATTTTAGCTAATTTCAAACTTGGCTTGAAATTTTGATGTGGCCCATTTTACAAACTTAAAAAACTTTTATAATTATACCACAATTTTGTATGCAAACAAAAATGAAGATCAATAAATATGAAAATAAAAGAAACTCTAAAAATCGAACTTCCTTCCTTGTATAATTTGGTATTATTAATAATCGTTCCTCCACAAGAGCCCTTATGTTTATAATTCAAAAAGCTTCCTCATTAATGTAATTGGTATTTGCGTTCAACTTAAAGGAACAAAAATATTTTTTTGTATATGCTACGTAAGCAATATTTTGCCTTTAATAATGTTTATTTTTGTGAGATCTTTTTATTTCGAATGTAGGGCGATAGCAATTAATTTCTGATGAAACCTCTATATAATTTGAAGGACCTACTCCTTTTTGATTTGGGTGATTGATATGCTTTTTATTAAATAATGAATTATGAATTGAGGCAGAAAAATTCATTGTACATAGATTGAATAGATAGATATTATATTCTTTGTTGTATTCAGGTATTATTAAATTTTGTCAGTGAATTGTCATTATCATTATGAGGTCATATTTAAAATTTTTGGTGTAAAGAAATGGGTTCATAAGATTATTTTAAACTGTACCAAAAATCCATCATTAGCTCAAAAACATTTTTCGTTCGGTATCTTTTAACGTTACTATTTCAACGTAAAGAGAAAATTATGTGGAACGAGTCATAGATTTAAATACGTCGATGTCAATTTTTAAAGGAAAGAAATTTTTTTAGTTTTCTTTTGTGCAGCAGTATTTGAAATATATGGAAAAACTTATTTCTATAATTATAAATCAGTTCGGAATTTTACTAAATATAGTTAGATAGTTGTTTCATATGTGTTATTTTCATGATATGGCTGATTTGGTTTGCAGAGTAAAATTAATATAAGTCGAATTGCATTTTTGTACCCTATAGTTTGTAATATGAATAAAAACTAGTTGTGAGTGACATTTTTCCTGATAGTGAGTTGCATTATTATAATCGATTTAATCAAAAAGATTTTTTTAATTTATATATGATCTACCAGTCTTTCTGTTCACCTCTGTGCCTTCCTACACGTTTTTCCGTCTATCTGTTAGACTGTCTACCTGTTCACCTGTCTCTGTTTACCTATCTAAATGCTTACCTTTTACCTGTTAATTTGACTATCTGTTAACCTGTGTACCTGTTAACTTGTCTATGTATATCTGTTGGCCTGTCTATCTGTCCTCCTGTTCACCAGTTTCTGTCTGTTTACCTATCTAGATGTTCATCTGTTTACCTGCATCTGTCTATCTATTAACCTGTTTACCTGCATCTGTCTATCTATTAACCTGTGTACCTGCCTCTGTCTATTTATATATCTAGAGGTTATATCTGTCCATTTGTTAACCTGTGCACCTGTTCACCTGTCTCTGCCTGTTCACCTATCTAGATGTTCACCTATTCACCTGTTTATCTGTCTCTGTTTGTTTACCTATTTAGATGTTCACCTATTTACCTGTGTATCTGTCTATCTGTGTAACTTTTACCCTGTCTACCTATTCATCTGTCTAGATGTGCACCTATTTACCTGTCTATCTGTCCATTTGTTTACCTGAATACGTATTCACCTATTTATCTGCTTAACAGTTTACTTGTTTACAAGCTTGTTTTGTCTACCAGTTTATTAGTCTACCATTCTGTCTGCCTACATGCCTGCCAATTGTAAATGCAAACCTGCTTCCCACTCTCTTGTTTGAATTTTATGTCTGACTACATTCCTACATATTCACCAATAATGCTAGTTGTGTATGAATCCATAATAATGATTTGTAAAGATTATATTTAATCATCAAATGTCAGTTTTAGCCAAACTGATGTACCCGCCTTCGTAAAAATGAGATCAATTCTGCATTCTATCAAAACACAAGCAAAATATATTTTGAGGCATTTAAATCGGATACTCCGTTTTCTTTTTAAAACTAGTAATTTGTAACACCTTTTGTACTGCATCTCCCAAACGAGTGCTCCTGTCCTTGCCAAAAAGTAATCCGCCAATTAATAACCAAACGTCAATAAACGTCAAAAGAAATCTCCACGTCAACAGGAATCGAATGTTTTCTGAATAACTGAAATCGGTTAATCGGTCTTTCCGAAAACGACAATAAAATAGTGTCGCCATTCATACATACATACTACATACAATCAAACACACACACACATTCATTTTTTCTAAGGTATGTCGAAAAGTTCAGAAAGCTTTAAAAGTAAAGATATGTAAAAACTTACTTATCCTACGTAAAGTTAAAAGCTTGTGTGAACAAAATTGTGACAAAATTATTAAAGATCTCACACAAAAGTAATTTTTTAAAGTAAAACTGCTTAAGGCGCGACTTGGGTGTAAATCCGTACAATTGCAACGGAAATAGCGTTACGCTCGAACTGGACGTCAGTCGCTCTCGATGTCGTCGTGCCGAGTGATTAGAGATCTTTCGTTGTATGTGTACCGGCATTAACGTTGCATGCGTACCGATATCAATAAATAAATCGGCATAGGTAAATAAACATTTTAAAGTTACATTGTAGTACAAATCTTGATTGAATGAAAAATGCCTGAATCAGAAAAATGTTTTACCCTGTTCCTTAGAAATTATTTTTATATTATTCGTAGTTTCTATAAATTTGAAGTTATTAAAATGGAAAATATTTTTCTAGGCAAGACATATCACAACTGTTCAAAGAATGAGATTATATCGCCAGCGCGAAAGTAAAAAAATACAAGCAGTCAATGAACGTATGTTAAGCTTAATTACATGAAGTTTTTCAAACACAATTCCATAATAAGTGAAGATGCGACAACAATTTTTGTTTAGGCATTAATTTAACATAATCCACTGTGTGAACTAATAATATAAAATTTGTTAATCAGCAATTACTTCATTTCTCTAATGAAGGTTCATTTCTAAACGCCAATTACAATGACAAACCGATCATGTCATATTTGAAATATGACTTTAATTACATTTTTGCTTTTAAATATTTATAAATATGTTTAATGCTGTTATGATTATATAATTTATAATTTATCATTATTTAAATGTGTATAATGATTGACACTAATGAATGTGTGTATCACCAGTGTTACCATATTTACTGATAAACACTATTCAAAATTGTTATGATGAATTTGTTTTTACTTAAATGCCATATCGTACAGTAACAAATAAGTTATACTTCAATTGCGTGTGAACCTTTTTAGTTCCCTAAAACTAGTGTGAACGTAATTGTGACAGAAATACGAGGATTTTGTAGTATACTTCATAATTTTAAATTTCGCTGATCCAACCCAACCATGTTCATTCATATCAGCTAGGAAATCAGAATGTTCACCGGAATACTTAATTGTCGGAAAAATCATTCACAAAAACTGGGTCGTGAGCTTTTTAAATAATTAATAACCTCTTACCTTTCCTATCTGTTCAGTGGCATCTGACTAAGGAGGAGAAGAAGATATCAGGGCGTGTTCTCCGACCAAAGAATCCTGTTCGAGCAAACAACAAAGGATAAAGGACGACGGCCCAGACCTGAAATGGGAAAATAAATAAAGCAATTAGCACTAATTTAAGGACTCGACAACAGGAACGTTTATCAAGATGGGGAGAGGATGGAATAAATATTAGTGTTTGGGGAAAATGGAAAATGGGTACAGGTTTCGTGGGTTTCAACGTGGTAAGATAATTTGCTGGTTTGGAGTAAATTATTAGGATTGCACAGTCTTTGGTATAGTATTCTTCTACAGTTTCTTAATAAATTAACTGTGATTGACGAATATACTCGCCATAGCAAAATTTCATGTATTGACCTGTATATTTGTCATAGAACTTTGACCATGAGCTGTATAAGTTGAAATATTGGAGAAAAGCAAAATATATTTTAAAATGCAAAGTCGTTTAGAATATTTTTTGAGGCAATGACTGTATGAGAAGTCGTAAATGCTAATTTTCTTATGGCAAGCGGCATGAATTTTTTTAAATGTGGAAATAATATACTTAAAAATTATTAATTAAAAAGAATAAATGAAAAATGTTTACAGGTTTTGCGGGTTCATTATATAAGAGAATTTGCGGGTTTGAAGAAGATTTTTATTAAATTGGCAAATATACAAGTCATGAGAAAGTGGAAAAAGTTTATTTCTTGACGTTTATATTTGTCATGCGTATGAAATACTGACCATTTGTTATTTAATTCAAAATATTTGAGGAAAGCCCAATATATTTTGAAATATCATGTTCTTTAGAATATTTTGAGAATTGAGAATGCTTGATTATTATACTTGAGTAAACATGCAAAATGCTTACAGGTTTTGTGGGTTCAAAATTTTGAGATAATTTGCTGGTTTGGAATGAATTATTAGGATCATATAATATGTAGAATAGTATACTTCTACAGATTTCTGATCAATCAACTGCGATTGACGAATATACTCGTCATGGCAATACCATATCCATTGACCATTTGCTACTTAAATTGAATTATTTTAGAAAAGCCATTTATATTTTGAAATATTAAGTCGTTTAGAATATTTTGAGGCAATGACTGTGTAAACTAGGTGAAAGTGGCATTTTTATTTATCATTAGGATGCAAAAACTTTTTGAAATATTGAAATAATATACTTAATAAGTATTAAGTTGAAGTTGTTTTAAAATACTAGTAAATCATTAAAAATAATCTACTATATTACAAAAATACATGTAAAATAATTTTAAAAAATTATAAAAAGTAGAAATTATCCATACTATTTCAGAGATATGACAATGATTTAAAAATATGTTCTGCATTATTGTTTAATTTTCATAAAAGGTTTACAAATAATTAAAAAAAAACACATTCGGAAAAATAATGCATAAAATATTTAATTTCAAATTTTATATTGGTGTTTTGCTTAATACAATTTTAATAACAAGTGTCCTAAAAAAATTAAACATTATATTAACTAGTGATAATGTTTTAATTTTGGTTATAAAAATTAATATTGCTATATTTAGGTATTATCAAATTTATATTTTTCTGAAACAATCATTGATAAATAGTATTAATTAATGAATTGAAAATTAAAAATGATTTAGCAATAATAACTATGAACTATTAACTTTATAAATGGTATTATAAGTAGCTCATAATTTATTTGTAATACATGATCATAGTAGTACATTATTTCATTCGTCTGATTTTATATCAAAATTTTTATAATATATTTTATCTCTTGTAAAAATACAAAAAAAACATCTAGACTTTAATGTTTTCTTATGAGCAAATCAATCAACTTTTTCCATTATCTTTGAAAACATCAGAGTTTCACTAGAGCCATATTTACTAAAAATGATGATTAATTCGTATTATGTATATTATTTTATAGGAATATACAGAGTACATTTCTTCTTTTTCGTAAACTCTTCAGAGAATTGTAATTTTTGTCAAAAAATAATTACACAAAATATTGATAAAATAAACATTTAACTGTTATTAAAAAAATATATATATATATATTTAGGACTTGATGCATCTTATACAAAATCTATGAATGTAGCAAAAATAATCTGTTCACACACATACACATTTTCCAGATTTAACCTCATTCGATTCAGAATGGCTTGAAACGTCGAGAAAACAAAACTAGCAAATCCGATTTTTTTATGAAAATCTACTTCTTTGGGAAGTTAATAATATTGTATAAGCAAAAAGTAAACTATATCAAATGTATGTATTTACACACACACATCTATATACATATATATATATATGTATTTTCCTATATCTTAATTTCTCTGAAATCCTTCGCATCATGTGCACAAAAAGACGAGTCCTTCCAGAATCTTTTAACAAAAATCAAAAGAAATCGTTCGCCCTTAAAAAGGCCACACAAAATAAACTCGTATGAAGTACAGATCAAAGGAAATCTTGATGTTTACTGACATAGATACCTAACTCCATTAAAAGTATTAAAAATGGCACAAAGCCATTTGATCAAAACATGTAGGCCTAATATTAAACCAACAGGCTGAATAATAAGAAATATATTGATTTAATTTTTGTTTGCATTTGGAACTCAAGATCATAGTTATTTGAAACAAAACGCGAAATATCATTTTAATAACAAAATAACAAATTTTAATAAGCAAATTCTTCAATTTTATGAATTCTTACACATATCCACAAAGATACAATTTCTATTTCCGCAAAACATGTCCTTTTCTCGCATCGACACGTATTTATATCATTTAAAAATCGTTTCTGTTACGAGTTTCCAGGAAAAATCCTTACTGAAGGATACCGAAGGCTAAAAAATAAAAATAAAAACATAGAAATAGGAATGAAATCGGAAATAACGTGATAACAGGAAGAAAAATAAAGTGAATCGGAACTGAGCACAATTACAATTTCCAAGAAAATTGTGAAGGTTCTTCCAGAGGCGATCAGTGGATTGATATTTGCATAATTATTAGATTGGAGTTTCTTTCAAAGAATTTTTAAAGAATTCATTTTGCTTATTTGAGATATTCAACAGAAAACGTGCAGGTTTTTATAAATTTATGTTTGATAGAATGAGTACAAATATATAATTTATTTTTGTAACTTATTAAGAAAAAGTTGATTATAAATTTGAAGTTTCAATTGATGTTTCTTTACAAAAAATATTATATTTGACTTCTAAGGTGAAAAACAATGCTTTAAAACCAATACAATTTAATTAGTAACTCATTGTGCCTCAAGACAAAAGCGTTGGACCAGTCTTGCCAAAAAACTAACAGAAAACAATTTGACACAAGCTTCTTGAATTACTCTAGTCGGATACGCCGTTTTCTTGAAAGTTGCTATTGTTTGGAATTTTTGCTCCGTATTTCCACAAAGGCTGGACATGCCTTTTCCAAAACTAATCAGCACGTCAATACAAATCGGTTGAGCCGTGCGTTCAAAATTGTGAACAAAAATTTGTAACGAAGTAGTGCAAGTCACATCATGGCACAGCAAGGATGTAGCTTTTTGAATAAAAAGCTATCAAAAAATGTTGCACCCTTCTAATTCTAAAAATACGGATCAAGAAATAAATTTTTGAAATGGCTTCAACCGTTTTTGTAAAAATCTCGGTGAAAGGTGAAATTTTGGCTTACATACAAACACACTTTCTCCAGTTATGTTTCCAAAGGATTCAGAATGACTTTGAACTTCGAGAATAAAAAAAATAACAAGTCGAATTTTTTACAAAAACATGAACTTATTTGGAAATTTAAAAATTAATAAAAACAATGTTTCACATATTATATTTCTATATAGGGACTTGTGTCAATTATGATATCCAAGTAAATATAAAAGAAAGATTTATTCGAAAGAAAATATTTATGAGCAAATTTTCGGGATCAAATTAATAGAAATTTCATGTTACTGAACTCTTATGTTGTCAGCATGTTACTATCAGAAAGCTACATCCTTGCTGTGCCATCGAGCGTTTCACACCTAAAACCTTACCTCCAAATGGCCCAAATGTTGAATTATGTTATGATAAATGTAACTTTTTGATGTCACTTAGGTATCACAAAGAAGACAAATTAAAGTTTATAAGCCTGCATTTGTTCCTTTTGGAGGTCAGGTTTTTAGAAATAAATAGAGTAAACAACACGATTGCACCAACAAAGATATAGTTTTTTTGACTTCCAACTCATAAGAATATTCAGCTCGAAAGATCAGTGTCAGAACATTTCTATTTTATCCTGAGAATTGGCTCCAATCGAATTTTTTGAACTAGATATCTACTATCCTCATATTATGTTCTATTTTTTTAGTAAAAAATAGCTTCAAGTGGTTTAAAATTAAGGTGACCATATTTTTAATGGGAGGGAGGGGGTGAATACTAAAACAAATTAATATGACTTTAAAATAACAAACCTTATTTAAGAATGCAGTATAAAACTGTCAGCTTTCAAACCTATTATTAATTTTTTTCATAATTATTTAGAAATAATTGTGCACTTATGTATTCAAGGCAGTCGAGCAGTTCATGTTCATATTTTATATTAATTTTTGTGAAATTTAAAATATAGGTTCATAATTATGAATGTGAGACGCTATTTTAAGGGGGTTGTTCTTTTTTCGTTACAAAAAATACAAGGTATTTGTTTTTGTTTTTTCTCGAAATGTATTTATCATAGAGACATGCGGTTTTTTTTAAACAAAAATTACAAAATCATAGAATATTACGTGATTTTCTTCTTTTCTTTTTGCGCCGTCATTTTTTAACCAGGGGGCGCCAAAGTCGGTCTTGCAAAATCGATCTCTTTTGCGGTGCCACAGATAAATCCGTTGCGCATCGCCCGAAACAAAAAAAAAGAAATTACGTTGAAGAAGAAGTTTGTTTCCAGTCCCCCTACCAAAATAAAAGAAAAAAAGCAAGAAGGAAAAAAATGGCAGCTATTTTAAAAAAAAGTGTCAAAAAAGGCCTTTTTTTGGTGCGAGCTTCGCAAAAATTTTTTGCGTAATGTTATCAAGTTGTTTGAGGTAGGGGGACTCGGTATTGCAGTGGTGAACA